ACTGAGGGTTGCGATCCGTTGCCGGACATGGAAAAAGACAAAAGACAAAAAAAATAAAAAAGTGTCAGCTCATTATAAAGCTGATTACTATAGTTTTTGATTGGAGCTTACTTGAATCTATAGTCAATTTGGGAAAAATTGACCTCTTACCAATATTGAGTCTTCTGAACCCAAACATGGTTAATTCTCCACTTGGCTAGGTCTTTGGTTTCTCCCACCAATATTTGTAGTTTTTCATGTGCAAGTTTTTCACATTTTTGTCAGATTTATCTGTATTTCGTATTTTTGTTGGTATTATAAATGGTATGGGCTTTTTTACATTTTGATTTTTGATTATCCATTGCTACACATAGAATTACAATTGTGTCCTGCACCCTTGCTAAACTCACTAATTAGTTCTAGTAGCTTTTTGATAAATTCTTTAAGATTTTTGACATAGATAATTATGTCATCTGCCATAAAGACAGTTTTACATTTTTCTTTTCAAGCTGGATGCCTTTATTTATTTTTCTTACCTTATTCCATTAGTTAGGACTTCTAGGGCGATGCTGAACAGAAGTGGTAAAATAACCTTGCCTGTTCCTGATCTTAGGGGAGAAGCACTCAGTCTCTCGCCATTAAGTGAGATGTTAGCAGTAATTTTTCTAGATGCCCTTTATCAGGTTGAGGAAGATCCCTTCTCATCCTAGTTTGCTGTGCATTTTTATCAGGAATTGATGTTGGATTTTGTCAAGTAACTTTTCTGTATCTAACAGGATGACCAAATGGTTTTTCTTTTTTAGTTTGTTAATATGGTATACCACATTGTTTGATTTTCCAAGGTTAAGCCAACCTTGCATTTCCAGGACACATACTCCTTGGTCAAAATGTATTACTCTTTATATACTGTTGGATTTAACTAGGTAAGCTTTTATTAAGACTGTCTACATCCATGTTCATGAGGACTATTGAGTCTAGTTTCCTTTTCTTACTGTCTTTCTGGTTTAATTCTTGCCTTGTAGAATGAGCTGGGAACTATTCCCTCCTCTTCAGTTTTCTAGAATTGTTTCTGTAGAATTGATATTCATTCTTCCTTAAATGCTTAATAGATTTCACAGGTGAAGCCATCTGGATCTAGAGTTTTCTTTATGGGAAGGATCTTTTAACTCCATATTCAATTTTTTAAAACAGATAGAAACTATTCAGCTTATATCTCTCTCTCCTTGAATAAACTTTGGTAATTTGTTCCTTTCATCCAAGTTGTTGAATTCATTGAAATTATTCATAACGTCCCCTTATTACCCTTCTAATAACTGTAGAATCTGTAATGACATCACCTCTCTCATTTCTCATATTTATAATTAGTATCTTCTCCCTCTTTTTCCTGATCAGGCTGGCTGGATGCTTATGAATCTTATTGATCTTCTCAAAGAACTGGCCTTTGGTTTCATTATTTTTTCTGTATTGCTTTTCTGTTTTCTATTTCATTGATTTTCATTTATAAACTTTATTATTCCCTTTCTTCTGCTTAAGTTGGGTCTAATTTGCTCTCCTTTTTCTAGTTTCTTCAGTTAAGATGTCATTGATTTGAGGCCTTTCTCTTCTAATATGGGCATCTGGTGCTATAAATTTCGACCTAAGTGCTCCTAAAGGAGTCATTCATAAATTTTGATATGTCGTGTGTTTTTTTTTTTTTTGTCTTTTGTCTTTTTTCCGTGTCCGGCAACGGATCGCAACCCTCAGTGTTGCCCCCGCACCGGACCGGGGACCGGCAACGGGATCGCAAGCCTCGGTGTTGCTCCCGCGTCTTGCTCAGCCAGTGAGCGGGAACCGGTCTGTACGTGGGATCCAAACCCTCGGACGGGAGCGCCACCGCGCTTCCCAAGCGGCGCACTATCCAGTGCGCCACCAGGCCGGCCCGATATGTCGTGTTTTTATCTTCATTCAGTTCAAATTACTTTTTCTCTTCTCTTTTGGTTTCTTCTTGAATTCATGGATTATTTAATGTTTATTTTTTATTTACCAAACATTTGAGGATTTTCCATATATATTTCTGTTATGAATTTCTTTTTTTTTTTTTTTTGTCTTTTTTACTGACTGGTAACAGGATCGCAACCCTCGGTGTCGCG